GGACGCTTAACCGACTAAGCCACCCAGGCGCCCCTGTCTCTCTCTGTCTCTTAAAAATAAATACATATTACATTTTTTTAAGCACTACCTTCCTCCAGCCTGTACTATTTCAGACCTGGTGGCCCACAGAAAATGAGATGTGCTGTTTTTTCCTGACCCCACATGGTGGCAGAGAAAACTGCAGAAGCAGCACAGAAGTGTGCTACCGGTAGCTTCCTTATTGAGTGATTTTTGTGGGTTTTTCAGAAATCACCTGATCTGTTGTTCACTTCCTGTCAGAGATATTTCACTTGAGATGGAAAATACTTCTTTTCTGCCTCATCTTTTGGAGTTCTATCTATGGATTCTCATTTATTAGGGTTTCATTGCCTCGGGTCTGCTTAGATACTATTCTAAAAATATTTGTGGCCAAAACACATAATATAAAATTTCCCATCTTAACTGTTTTGAAATGTGTAGCTTAGTAGTGTAAGTACACTCACACTGTTGGGCCACCAGTCTGGAGAACATTTTTCATGTTACAAAACAGAAACTTTAAACCCCTTAGACAACAACTTTGCACTTCCTCCTCCGCCGCCGCCGCCACCCCCGCCCCGCAGTCCCTGGCAACTTTCATTCTACTTTTGTCTCTATGAATTTGACTACTCTACATACCTTATGTAAGTGGAATTATACAGTGTTTGGTTTTTTGTGATGCTAATTTCACTTAGCATTATGCCTTCAAGTATATAGACACAAACAGAATTACTATATCATATAATAATTCAATGTTTAATTTTTTGAGGGACCACCATATTGTTTTGCTTAGTAACTGCACCATTTTACATCCCCACCAATACTTACCATTGTGTATATGTTGTTGTAATGAGTCTTTAATGTGTCCTAATCATCAGATGAGTGAACAAAAATAAGCATAGGTAGGAAATACAGATACACACACACAAAAATAAGCATAGGTAGGAAATACAGACACACACACACATTATGGGAGCTCCACCCCCATTATCTCATCTAAACTTAATTACCTCTCAGAGGCCTCATCTCCTAATACCATCACATTGAGAGGGTAGGGTTTCACCTTATGAATTTTGTGAGTACACATTTAGCCTATAACATAGGTGTAAATATATATGTATATAATGTGTGTACATATATATATATACACACACATATGTGGGTGTGTATGTGTATATGTTTTTATTTTTATATGTACCTTTGCAAGAGTATGTATGTATGTATGTGTTGGGGGCGATTGCATTATATTTTTATGGTCTGATATGCACAAATTTCATTTATCATGGTTTAGTTAAATAATACCATGCTTTAGTTACCTGTCTCAAATTTTAGTTTTACAGTATAGTTATGCATATTTATAGTATATTTACTCTAACTGTATAAAGTACAAACTTCACTGCTAGTTTCTCAGTGAACACAGAAGCTATATATATATATAGAGAGAGAGAGAGAGAGAGATCACTATGTAGAAAATAGACAATGCATTGTGATCAATGACCAATCAAGTCATGTCCTTGTAAGTCTGTCAGTGACTAATTAATGTGCGTCTGTCTTCAGTTAACACTTAGACAATTAAATGTAAAATTATGTTACCTCTGCATCTCACAATGATTAATTCATGTGGTATCTTACAAAAATAAATCATCAAAAGAGGGGACTGGTCAAACATGACTAAAATGCAGCAAAGAAACAAACAGTGATAATGCTGAAAGTCAAAGTCAAGTAGAAAACAAAAGTAAGTAGAAAGAAAGAGCTGATCGTGAGCATATTGACACTTCTACTTTTGTCGAGACTCTAGACAGCCAGCCAGAGGAATTTTGAAGGCAACCATCAACAAAAATAAGGCAAGTGGTTGTGATGAAAGGGATGGAGATGTCCCAGAGAAGTTAGAGTCACGAAAAAAAATTTACATAAAAGGAATTCTCAGAAATATTTCATAACATTCCAGAAGCAAAAAAATTAAATGTGGAAAGCCCACTCAAACTTAGAGGTACGAAAGTTTAAGAAAGTATAGGAAAGATGCTTGCCTAATATTGTAGGTTACACAGCAAGAAGGCAAGCCTGTTCAATGTTTTTTTTAATGAAAAACATTTTTTATTTTGTTTTTTTAATTAAAAAAGTGTATTGAAGTATGGTTGACATACAATATTAGTTTCAGGTGTACAATATAGTGATTTGACAATTCTATACATTATCCAACACACACCACGAGATATGTAATTATCATCTGTTATCATATTGTCATTATAATATTATTGACCATATTCCCTATGCTGTACTTTTAATCCCTGTGACTTATTTATTTTATAACCAGAAGTCTTTACCTCACCAATGGCACCCCTTATCCCCTACCCTCTAGAATAAAGTGGGGTTCCACTTCATTATCCAGATTTATGAGTCCATTTCTGCATTTTTTGTTTGTTTATATGTTGTTGGGTTTTTTGTTTTTTGTTTAGATTTCACATATAAGTAAAATCATATGTTAATTGTCTTTCTCCATCTGACTTCTTTCACACAGCATAATACTCTATGGGTCCATCCAAGTTGTCACAAATGGCAAGATTTCATTCTTTTTTATGGCTGAGGAATACTCTATTGTGTATATGCTATATCTTCTTTATCCATTCATCTATCAAAGGATGCTTAGGTTGATTCCGTATCTTGGCTGTTGTAAATAAAATGACAGTAAACATAGCAGTGCACATATCTTTTCAAATTAGTATTTTCATTTTCTTTGCATAAATACCTAACAGTAGAGGGGCACATATGTGGCTCAGTCAGTTAAGTGACTGACTTTGGCTCATGTCATGAGCTCTCAGTTTGTGGGTCTGAGTCCCTTGTGAGACTTTGTGATGGCAGCTCAGAGCCTGGAGCCTGCTTCAGATTCTGTGTGTTCCTCTTTCTCTGCCCCTCTCCTGCTCATGCTTTGCCTCTCTCTGTCTCTCAAAAATAAAAAAATAAATAAATAAACATTAAAAAACCCCAATAACAACATTGGAACTATTGGACTCTATAACATTTCTACTTTTAATATTTTGAGGTTCTTCCACAGTTTTCAACAGTAGTTACATCAATTTACATCCCTACCAGCAGTTCACAAGAGTTCCTTTTTCTCTGTCTCCTTATCAATACATGTTATTTCTTGTCTTTTTGATACTAGTCATTCTGACAGGTGTAAGCTGATATCTTATTGTGGCTTTGATTTACATTTCCTTGGTGATTAGTGACACCAGACATCTTTTCATATATCTGTTGGCCATCCTTATTTCTTCTTTGTAAAAATGTCTATTCAGATCCTCTACCCATTTTAAAAATATGATTACTTGGGTTTTTTGGTGTTAAGTTATATGAGTTCTTCAAATTTTTTGGATATTAGCCCCTTATCAGATATATCACTTGCACCTATCTTCTCCCATTCAGGAGGTTGTCTTTTCATTTCGTTGATGGTTTTCTGTGCTATGCAAAAGGTTTTTAGTTTGATGTAGTCCCAATAGTTTATGTTTGCTTTTGTTTCCCTTGACTGAGGAGGCATACTCAGAAAAATGTTGGTAAGTCTAATGTCCAAGAGATAGCTGTTTGCATTTTCTTTTAGGAGTTTCATGATTTTAGGTTTTACATTAGGTCCATAATCCATTTTGAGTTTATTTTGGGGTATAGTGTAAGAAAGTGGTCTAATTTTATTTTCAAAGTATTCTTAATAAGTTTTTAGGCTTTGTAAAAAACAAAATAAAACAAAGGACTTGAATTCTCAATGTTTCTGATGTTTTAAATACAGTGTTATAAAAATCGTTTTATTGTTTTTTTATTCCCCATATGTTTTTGAGGGAGAGTAACAGAGTTTTCAGTATTTCAAAAACATTTTTTTTAAATTGAGGACCAATCATAATGTTCCCCTTTGATTATTAGAATAACATGGCTTGGTTTTCGCTTGTACGTCATTTTTAACATCCGTTTCCACTGTGCAAAGGGAAGATTGCCTGTATATGAAACTAATTTTCATTCAAGCACTAAAATTTATCAAATTTTCCTAAGCAGTCCATAAGTAAGATCTGGAACTCAAAGGCTAAAAAGAACTCAAAAGTTAAAAGTTAAAAAGTTAAAAGTTAAAAAGAATTGGAGGGAGTATTTTAAAAAAATGAGAGGGGAGGGCAAAGCTACCCTGTGGTGTTGGCAAACATGCCCAGGTTTCAGTCCACGTGTTGTAAAATTGTCTTAGACTTGAGATTGTAGGGCGACTGTATAAAAGCATCCAAAATAAGAAGTATTGGCCTCTCCCTGCTCAGCTTTGGGGGGTTAGCTGGTGAGAGGGAAGGAGCCAATCAGAGGCTGAATTCTCAGAGTCGTCTCTGTGGTCCAGCCAATCCCAGGCTATTGAGCCAACGCCTCTAGGATAAAGGGAGCGGTTACTGCCTGCCTGCAAACCGTTACTTCCCCAGCCTTGTTACAGAAGACCCTTGTCCGTGAGCGTTGGAGATGGAGGGCAGAGGGTTTGAGCATAACGTTGGTACTGATGGGAGGGAGGTCATGGAGCAGGTCACGATGCCAGGTAAGGGGCGTCACAGAGCTCGTCCTTGGGTACAGGAGCTGAGCTTCCCGTGATTATCCTACCATCCTTTTTGGATCCCAGTTTGCAGTCTCAGCAGTTTTTCTTTAATTGTCCATAATCTGGCCCATAAATAAAAGCCGTCTTCATTAAAAAAACAAAGCCTTCAAAGAAATGGTAGACCCACCCCTCTCCACCTGATGTTTTCCTTCTTGGAAGAGGCAGCTAGCTATTCATGAAAAAGTCCCAGGATGGAGTTTGGTTTTCTATTCTGCAACCAAGGAAAGAACACTGAGTAAGTAAAATAACGGTCAGAAATGGCGCGGAGAGTGGAAGCAAACACTTCTGAGACTCTTGATCTGAAAAGTTAGCCCTTAGTACGCTGTCTCATTTTCCCATTTTCCACTTGCTGGGTTGTGAAGAATAGCTCATAGAGCAGGTAGAGAAAAAGACAAATCTCACGTGCGTTGTCTGTTTGCCTGTTGTTTGTTTTTCTCTAGAAGATAAACAATGACATCCATCTTCCTTAGGTATAGTAACAAAGAAAATGCTAGTCATGTCAAGTATGATATGTGGAGGCATCGCTTTTCTTCTGTGGGCAATGTTAAGATTCCCTAGAAAATGTAAGTAAACAATTCCTGCTAAAAATATACTAATTGTATTATCATTGATTCAGTCTGATACCAGTGACTAGCTTGTTCTTCCTTAACATTGAACAATTGAAATCGGAAAGCATTCTCCTTGCCAGAGCCTCTAATTGTTTTTCAAACCCAGTCACCTGCTTTACCTTCTAGAATGATCATTCTTTCAATAAATATCTATTGAACTTCAGGCACAGTGCTAGGTGATGATGTTACCAAGATGGGGGGGAAAAAAGGAAAACGAAAAAGAAAAGGGGATTTTGGCCTGAAAGGAATTAATCCTTGATGGAAGAAACATGCATGTAAGCAAATAGTAACTGTAAAATAATTGCTAAATACAAGTATGTATTTGAAGAGGATGAGAAGGAGTTTATGAATCAGCTTTTGGTAGTCAGGGAAGACTTTATAAAGGTAGGGGTATTTGTGCTGAAACTTAAGGTCTGGTATGTATTTAGGAGAGAGTGCCTTAGACGAGTGTCAGAGAATCATACCAGGAATAATTGTGATAGAGTTCAAAAAAGTGGAGTGACCACTAGCAATTGTTATCACATTTTCCCTACTGTATTAACTCTCTCCCGTAGATGATTAGTTTATACTTTCTCCATTCTCTCCAGACCTTTCATGCCTCTTTCTTCATCTTCACTCTCAAGCCTGTATTTTGCTTTCAGTTTTACCTCATAAATTAAAACAGTTGCTAGAAAGCTTTCAAAGACTACCATGACCACATCTACTTTCTTACCTCTACCCCCACCGGAATACTCTGTCTAGATTGCTGGTACTGAAGATGGAATATTCATGCTCTGCACTAGATTCTATAGCCTCTCATTGATCAGTTACATTACTCTAGTAATATTCCACTCTCTCTCCTACATTACAAATTTTTTCATACTCAATCGAAACATCTCCATCAGCAATATATTATGGGGATTTCTCTCCTACCTTAAAATTTACTAGCACTTACTTGTTCTTTAGCTACCAATGTATTCATTTTTCTTCCATTACAGCAACCACCTTGAATTTTAGCTATTTTTTTCTAAATTCCATCTTCCCATTTTCTGTTAAATCATCTCTGGTCAGGCTCCACTTCCTTTTCCTTCTACTAAAGTTGTCTTTCAAGTTCACTGGCAACTTCCATGTTGCAACACAGTATGCTTTCTAACTAATTTGTTAGCATCTTCCAGCTTTCCTTTGCTTATTCTTTCTTTTCTCCCTGACCTCTTAACTTTGAGTGCCCTGGGGCTCAGTCCCCAAAAAGGTCCCCTCTTTATCTGCCCTTTCACTCTTGGCAACCTAGCAATACTCACAACTTTGAATGTCACGTCATTCTTAGGACCTCCAAATACTCATATCCAATCTGGGTTTCTTTGCCGAATTCCAAATTTTTAAATCCGCCAACTTGACTAATACATTGTCCAAGTTGAAGTCTTAGTCTGGTTGTCTCCCATAACCTCTTCTATCTGGGTCTTCCTTACCTCATGAAATATCAACTTTGTCTTTCTAGTTTTCAAACCAAAACCCTTAGAGTCATGTTGGACTCTTTTTTCCTCTCCACTACCCCCAAAATAATCAGCAAAGTCTTCCTGATCTTTCAAAATATAACTAGAATCTGAGTCCCTTTTCACCACTTGTACAGGTACCACCTTGTACCTAGCCAACCTCCTCTTTTCGAAGTGTTCTTCACTTTTCCACCCTTTACCTCTTAGAGCAGTTATCCACTGAAAATATGATATGGGCCACAAATGTCATTTGTATTTTAGAAGCCCCACTAAAAAAGTAAGAAACAAATGAGAATAGTTTTAATTGTATTTTGTATTTAACCCAGTGTGAAAAATGAAGTGATACGGGGTCATTTATGTCAAGGTGTTTTAAAATGTATCCAGGAGGCCATTAAGGAAGCAGGGTTTATGCATGCCCTCCTGAACTTTTGAACTGGTCCAAACTGCCCCGAATATTCCAAGGACTCCTCAAGAACACATGCAATGTGCTACAGTAATGGCCTTTTGCTCAGTGAAAGCCTTAGCAACGCCTGTGCTTAGCCAAGATTAATTTTCAGCTACTAGCCCCAATCACAATCCTTTGTAAACAATATATAAAAAAGTCCGCTTTTGTCTCAAAAAACCCTGGCTTTGGTTCCCTAGTGGGATGCTCCTTGGATTGCTACTCAAATCTGTGTGCCCTGAGTTGCAATTCTTTGATTCCAAAAAAAATACTTTTGCTTAATTATTGCCTCCTGAGAAATTGAGGTTAACGCCTGTATTTAACAGGTAACACCTGTATGGTCAATATATCATCATTTCACCACATATCAGTATATTAATGATTCATGATATTACAAAATATTTTTGTACTACGGTTTTGATATTCAGTGTGCATTTTATACTTATAGGACTTTGGAGTTGGACTAGCCAGATTTCAAATGATTGATGGCCATGTGTAGCTAGGGACTTCCATACTAGACAGTGCACTTCTAGAATATATATTTTAAACACACTTTAAAAAACAAATCAGATCTGTTTAAAATGCTGCAATGGTTTTTCATTCACTTTGAGTAATCTTGCCACAATCTTGCAGATGGCCTACAGACTCTGTTGGATCTAGTCACCCGATTACCTTTGTGATCTCATCTCCTACTACTTACTTGCCCCTTCACTCAGTCTTCTTCAGTCACACAAGCATCCTCACTCTTTTTTTTTTTTAATGTTTATTTATTTTGAGAGAGGGAGAGTGAGAGAGAGCTAGTGCGTGAGGGCAAATAGAGAGAGAGACACACACAGAATCTTAAGCAGGCTCCAGGCTCTGAGCTGTCAACACAGAGCCTGACGCAGGACCCAAACTCACAAACTGTGAGATCATGACCTGAGCTAAAGTCAGACACTTAACTGACTGAGCCTCCCGGGCACCCTCAAGCATCCTCACTCTTTTGTTAACAAGCCAGGCACTTCACCTTGGTCCTTTGTACTGTTGTTGTTGTTGTTGTTTTTCTTTGCTTGGGAAGATCTTCCCCTGTATGAACATATTCCTCACTAGCTCAGCTGGTCCAAGCTTTTAGTAAATATTACCCTCTGGGTGAACCCCTGACTACTGCATTAAAATTGCAAGCCTTTCCCCTAATAATCCTAACTACCTTCACTCTGATATATTTTATGACAAACTATACCATTTAGTAGACATTCAAGTCCCATAAAAGCAAAGATTTTGGGTTTTGTTTGGTTTTTGTTTTGTATGTACACTGTTGTATTCCCAGACTGACAAAAATGTCTGCCACATGAGAGAAACTCAACTGGTAGTTGTCAAATGAATGAATGAATGAACGAATGAATGAATGACAAAACTTGGTGTTCGGTAACCCAGGTTCCGGACCAAATACCTGCATTCTGTACAAGCTTTTTATTTCAACACAAAACTTTAAAATCATTTTGAATTTGATACCTTCAGATAGTTTTGGCGACCTGAGTTTTCCACTCGGCTTTTATACCAGGACTCATGAACAGTCCTACATTGCTGGTATCTTTCCCATTTGAAGATTCTCCCATTCATATGAGCCCATCATATATTTCAGCTGTAAAGAGATGTCCTTTTGGTGAGCCTTGTTTTTCTCAGGGCTATATCTTAATGAGGAACTTCATCTATCTAGAGGCAGTAAGTTGGGGAGTAAAAAGTGGATAGTGGAAAGCTAGTAAAATTCCAAACTTTTTTTTTCCTTGCGTTGTTTTATGTTTAAGAACAAAGGAGCAACCTCAACATCTGGGGAAATGTTGTTCTTGAAAGACAGTCTAGTTTCAATTAAGCCAGCAATAGTAAGCCAGCCCTCTGATGTTATGGATATTGACAATTGGTCTATTCACAATGGAAAGAAGTGGATGAATAGGAAAGGAATGGATGAATAAAGAAAATGCCAGTAGTATAAGAAATGGGAGGAAACTGGCTAGAGATTAATTCAGTTTCTGGATATTTATTTGTCTCTGATTGCTATCTTAAAGTATACATCCACCTGCATTCTTCAATGCTGATTTCATTCATGTGATGTTCTTGATCTTTTCTTTTTTCTGAGTTGAGTTTTGAGTTAAATCATTTGAATTGAATATGGAAGTAAAATACATTTTCTTGATCTGAAATAAATATTTTACCTGGAAGGAAAGACTTTTTCTTTTTCTTACACTTTCTTCTTTTTCTTTTTTTCCCCCTACCACTGTGCTTTTAGTTAAAAAGCCAAAGTTATGGAATTACCATACATGCTCTGAGGGTGAAGCTGTATGCCCACAAGACTGGAACCACATCAGAAATAATTGCTTCTTTCAATCTGAACATGAAAAAACTTGGATGGATAGCCAAGAAGCCTGCATAGTCTATCATGGATCTCTGGCCATATTCAACTCCAGGAATCAAGTGGTTAGATTTCTCCTTTGCAAAACAAATCTCATTTAATTTATTGGGTAGCCATTATATGACAGGTATACCTCAAAGTTGTGATGTATCAGCCAACAAAACAAAGATTTTTGCCTTTATGGAGCTTACACCCCCCAAAAAGAGACAGAGAATACAATCATAATAAATATGTTAAATTACATACTATTTTATATATATATAAATGTGTATATATATATACGTATATATATGTATATATATACGTATATATACGTATATATGTGTATATATATATATATACAGGATTTATGCATATGATATATGTGAATATGATATGTGACTATGATATGATCTAGATATACATAGATATACATAAGCAATATATGAAGGTCCTAGGTGAGTAGGCTGCAAATAAGATAGTCTTATCTCATTGAGATGATGGCACTGAGGAAAACTGTAAAGTAGTTAGAAAGTTTGTCAGAGGAATATCAGGGGGAATGAGCTTCCCCGGAAGAAGAAACATCTAGAGCATTAAAGTAGGTATATGCCTGGAATATTCAAGGAACAGAGAAAAAAAACCAGCCAGTGTGCCTAGAATGAGGGACTGAGTGAGGAATGTGGATGATTAGGGTCTTTGAGGCTATTGTTAATACTTTGGTTTTCCTCCAAGTAAAATAGGAAGATATTGCAGAGCTATGAACAAAAGTGAAACATGATTTGACTTAAGTTTTATAAGGATCATTTGCTCTGCCAAGCTGATGGGTGGCAAATATCAAAGCAGAGTGCCATGTTAGAGGGCTCTTACGATAACCCTAGCAAGAGAAAAATGGACCCGAAAAAGGACCATAGCTTTGGGGGTAGTGTGAATGAGAAAACTAGGAGCGACCCATGACAACACCCTGTATTTCATAAAAGGAAACTTTGATGCCCCTTTTGGGAACTTCTTCATATTGGATTGGACTGAAAAAGCTCAATGCAAGAACACCCTGGAGGTGGATAAATGGAGATACATTTAGCTATTGGTAAGCCTTAATAACATTTATCATGAAATGTGTTAAGTATATAGTAAGGATTCTAAGTCTGTAATCAGCTACTCCTATAGTTTCCTCCACATTATGTCCCCAAAAGACTGTCAGTATATGGACATATGGATATATTCAGACAAATATATAGTCTTTAGTCAGGGTTTGGCATCAAATATCAACTACTTCTATAAGGTAAGTTGGGCTGTATATACAACATCTATACTACAAGTGTTCTTTTTCTCCTAGACTAGATAAAAATCTAACTAGTTTGATCCTTGTCTGTTTCCTCTTGAGTTTTCCCTTTGTTTGTTTGTTGTTGCTTTGGTATGTCATTGATAGGGGAGTCTGAGAAAGCATACTCAAGCTTAGACTTACCACCCACTGGTGTCCTGAAATGGAAGGGAATGAATGAGAAAGAGAAAATGTATGCTCTATTTTCAAAAAATTGACCTTTGTCTAAAATTCTTGAACTTCTCCATGTTCCTTACCTCGAAGAGAACTGATTGTACCTCTTGACTCTATTTTTGCTTTTGAAACATTTAAGACATTTTCCAACTTTAGAGAGGAGAAAGGAAAAGAATATTGAGTTCCCCATGGAGGGAACCTCTAGCTACGGTCTATTTAGTACATACTTAAGTAGGTATTGTATTACTTTTATGACATATTGTGCTAGATATTATATGAGGCATATGACATGATAAAGAAAACAGCAGGCCTTTCAAAAAATAGAGACTTCTGTTATTATTGTATTTTTATCCAACTTGACGTGAAAATACCCACACAATGATTTGATAATAATATAGCCAACTTTAAAAAGTGTAAGAAAAAGTAGGACATAAATGAAACTTTCTGATTATCAGATCTAATACTTATTTTCTTGAGAGAAAATATTGGCAGTTTAATACAATATTATATATTTTACATAGTCCCATAAAAAAAAAAAAAAAGATGAGAGGCGCCTGAATGGCTCAGGCAGTTGAGCGTCCAACTTCAGCTCAGGTTATGATCTCGCAGTTCGTGGATTTGAGCCCGGCGTCAGGCTCTGTGCTGTATGCTTGCTCGGAGCCTGGAGTCTGTTTCAGATACTGTGTCTCCTTCTCTCTCTGCCCCTCCCCAACTCACACTCTGTCTTAATCCATCTCTCAAAAATAAATAAATGTAAAAACAATTTTTTTTAAAAGATGAGGAAGGAGTAAAAATAGAAGCTGGTGTATTAGCGGCACCTGGGTGGCTCAGTCGGTTAAGCATTGGACTTCAGCTCAGGTCATGATTTCACAGTCTGCAAGTTTGAGCCCCGAGTCGGGCTCTGTCCTGACAGCTCAGAGCCTGGAGCCTGCGTCCGATGTTGTGTTTCCCCTCCCTCTGTCCCCTGTACCCACCATGCTCTGTCTCTCTCTGTCTCTGAAAAATGAATAGTGTATTGGTTTGCTAAGTCTCCTGTAACAAATACCACAGACTGGACGTGTAAACAACAGTTCTGGAGGCAAGATGTGCCAGATCAAGACGTCAGGAGGGTCGATTTCTTCCGAGGCCTCTCCCTTTGGCTTGTAGATGGCCATCTTCTCCTGTGTCTTCACACAGCCTTCCCTCTGTGTACATGCCTGGCTGGGTCCAAGCTTCTTCCTAGGAGGACACCAGTAATATTGGATTAGGGGTCACTCTTAATTTTTTTAACGTTTTATATATTTTTGAGAGAGAGAGAGAGAGACAGTGTGAGCAGGGGAGGGTCAGAGAGAGGAGTCACAGAATCTGAAGAAAGGCTCCAAGCTCTGAGCTAGCAGTCAACCCAGAGCCTGACGCTGAGCCAGAACCCATGAACTGTGAGATAATGACCTGAGCCGAAGTCGGACGCTCAACCGACTGAGCCATCCAGGCACCTCAGGGCTCACTTTTAAGACCTCATTGTAACTTCATCACCTCTTCAAGCATATTCTCTCTTAATACAGTTATATTGTGAGCTACTATGGGTTGGGTTAGGTCATAAACATATGAACTGGGAGAGGTGCGTGATTAAGCCCATAACAATTGACACTAGGGTATGTGAAGGCACAGAAATACACCTGTATTTTGGAGGTAAGCTGCATACATTTTTGAAGGTAACCTAGAAATTAGGAAGGTTACACCAGCGTTACAAAGTTCCCCCAAAATGAAGTGCTAAAAGCATTTTAATTGCCATGTAACCAGCTAGTTATCAGAGAAACATTCTATTTTTCTTTTTCTCAGTCTGAGTTTTCAATTTCATATGTTCCATATGACCTACTATCCAAACTTAGAAAATCCTTTCTAGATATTTCACTTATGATTATGATTACATCTATCATAGTCCATCAAGTTAATGTCTATTTCACTATTACTATGGTAAAGGTTTCAACAAATGGATTAGTGAACACTATTTCAGCCTTAAGACATATCAATGTTTTAAATGTGTGCAGGAGGGGGTTCAGTAAAATATCAGTCACACTCTCCCTGTATGTGATCTTTAAATGGCTGACTATATTTACTTATTCTTATTTCAATGTATTAAAGTAGACTCTAATCCTTCACAAAGTTATTTTCCATGTTTACTACATTATAAAATGGCATAAAGCTCCAGGATTCTTGGCTGTGTTACTGCAGTGAAGTTGCCTGCTGTTCATTTCTTCCCACACTCCCCTCCTGTGGTGACATTTGAAGGCTGAAATGGAGAGAAGAAGCTCGTTTCATCCCTCTACTCCTTTTACATTGCACATTTTGGCTTGGTTTTGTTTTCTATTTTTTTTTAATGTTTATTCATTTTTGAGAGACCGAGAGAGGCAGAGCGCAAGCAAGGGAGGGGCAGAGAGAGGAGACACAGAATCTGAAGCAGGCTCCAGGCTCTGAGCTGTCAGCACAGAGCCCCACACAGGGCTCAAACCCATGAACTGTGAGATCGTGACCTGAGCGGAAGTCTGGCGCTGGGCCTTCTGAGCTACCCAGGCGCCCCTGCATCACACATTTTGAAACATAATCAGCAAAGCTACATATTTTAGGCTGTGCCTAATTATTTTTCATGGGCTTCAGTAAATTAATCTCCTTATTTTGTTCCAGGTTCAAGATTGGAGGAAGTGGAATGTGTGCCTTCATGTTTCAAAAGAGCATAAGCGGTGCCAGTTGCAATAATACAATGAAATATATATGTAGCAGAGGACCCCTTTGTTTTAGATAAAGGGTCCCTCTGTAATAGAGCAAATAAAGTAATTAAAGAAAAACTTCTTTTATGCCTTGTAAATTCATATGGATACATTGTTCTTTTCATCAGACATATGTTTTAAGTTGCTTGATGAAATTTTCAATGACTTTTAGCTTCATTTAAGTAATAATTTAAGACCTCAAGAAACTAAACTGAATTTTTCATGACGTTGCTAAGCCACACTATGGGTATAATGGTGGTCTTGGTCACAGCTGATTCAATAGCATGTGTCAGTGGAACAGATTGGAGGATAAAGAGAAGGGAGTAAAAGACTCCTCTACTCCTCTGACATTCAATTACATCTGCCTACAAGAGATAAGAGATGAGGCATGGAGTGAGCATTGGATGTTCCACTCAGTCCCCAGCGGTATGTAGCGGTATTCATTTAGAATTTGGAAAGAAGTTCCATGGGTGAGGTATTCAGAGATTAATTAGGGTTTCTTACTTCACATCACCATCAAAGACAAAATCCCCTGAAAATATATGCAGAGCCAGGTACAATTTTTCACGATTTCCTAGATCTTTATTCAAATTACTGACCAGAAGAATTCTATCACATGGATTCGATGTTGTTGAAACCGCTGAAGGAATCAGGCTCTGGGATGTGAGTCATGCTAAAGAAAACTCATGAATATTTAGAGAGTAGAATGTGAAGGAAGAAGTTCTGGTGATTTGAAGAAGTCATGGAGATCTCTCTGATCTTTCACAAAGCCATGGGATTTAAAGCCTAGGTTATATGTATTTTTTAAAGTTTATTTTTGAGAGACAGTGTGAGTGGGGGAGGGGCAGAAGAGAGGGAGAGAGAATCCAAGCAGATTCCTTGCTGTTAATGCAGAGCCCAACATGGGACTCGAACCCACGAAACCATAAGATCATGACCTGAGCTGAAACTAAGAGTCACCCAGGTGTCCCTGGATCCAAGATCATATATATTAAAATAGGAATCTGAGGGGCAGAGGGAGGAGGTCAACATCTAGTTTTCATTATAAATCTGTGCGCATTTTAATATCTTAGTCTCTATTTTCTTTCTTTTTACATTTACAAACACAATGAGTGGTGAGATATTCTCAAAAGAGAAATATTCGCAATTTTTTCTAAAACAAATGAGCCAATGAAAGCTTAGATTATTTGTAGGTTTTCTTAAACTACTCAATTGCCTCCATTGGACTTAGAGGAGGAAAAAAAAACAGTAATCGCAATGCAAACTGTGAATCTTACATATATGTGCATGCAAGATTATAAGTGTGCATGTAAGGGGAGAAAGGTTCTTCAAGTTCACTAAACATCTACTATGTCCTTTCTGTGTCCAGTGTACTTCATGCCACCTCATTTAATAGCCTTCCAAACACAATGAGGAAGGTATGTGTTTCAACAAGACCTATAAAGAAAGCCAATGACAAGAGTTCATGGAACTTTCCAGAAGTCAAAAAGACTAGCAAATCCTGGACCTGAGATTAGAATCAGGTCTTCCTGATTCCAAAGGTGACTCCAAAAGTCCACAAGGCATGGGCCAACCATACTGAAGGTATTCAAGCCTCCAGCATGATTAAGTAAAGCTTAAGGAATGCTTGCTAGTGTCTGTATATAAGCTTCTCAGTCTTACAGAAATGAACAGAGGGATGGCTATGCACAGAAAGCTGAGGCATGCACACATTTTGGTTGTCGTAATTGGGCAAATTTATATAACAAATCTAGAGAAAAGTACTGACTCTAACCAATAAGTGGATCAGTGATCTAACCAGTGAATGACTTCGAGATACAAAGTTTTCAAAGCATAATACAGGGGTGCCTGGGTGGCTCAGTCAGCTAAACATCCGATTTTGGTTCAGGTCATGATCTCACGGTTCGTGGGTTCGAGCCCCTCGTCGGGCTCTGTGCTGACAGCTCAGAGCCTGGAGCCTGTTTCAGATTCTGTGTCTCCCTCTCTTTCTGACCTTCCCTTGCTGACTCTCTCTCTCTCAGAAATAAATAAAACACTAAAAAATAAATAAAAGCATAATACAGCTTCATACAAAATCTTCAAGGAATATATAGTTCTATTTCAGTTCATATGTATGCTATAATTCATAAGTAGATTTTAAGGGGATAAATGTACCAGAATGTGTGTGTGTGTGTGTGTGTGTGTGTGTGTGTGTGTGTGTGTGTATGGATGGATGAATAGATAGAAATAGATGACAGATGATAGATGATAGATAGATAGATAGATAGAAATTGATAGATAATAAAGATAAGAGAGAAAGAGAAAGAAAGGAAAGAAAGAAAGAAAGAAAGAAAGAAAGAAAGAAAGAAAGAAAGAAAGAAAGAAAGAAAGAAAGAAAGAAAGAAAGAAAGAAAGAAAGAGGGGTGCCTGGGTGGCTTAGTCGGTTAAGCGTCCGACTTTCACTTAGGTCATGATCTCGCGGTCTGTGGGTTCAAGCCCCGTGTCGGGCTCTGTGCTGACTGCCAGCTCAGAGCCTGGAGCCTGTTTCAGAGTCTGTCACTCTCTCTCTCTCTGACCCTCCCCTGCTCACGCTGTCTCTCTCTCCTAGA